TTTCGTACAACGAATACCTTACGAGTTATTTGAGGTCGTCATGTTAGGAGACTCACCCTGTATACACCCGACATGTGGAGTCAAACAAGGAGACCCCCTATCACCCATCATTTTCAACATGATAATAGATAGACTCCTAAAAAGACTACCATCACATGTCGGTGTAGATATAGCTGGAACCTTGTACAATGCGTTTGCATTCGCAGACGACATTAACTTCATGGCGACAACACCTAAAGGTCTCCAGTTAACAATTGACACGGCTTCAGATTTCCTATCACAGTGTGGACTTCTCATTAATGCCACTAAGTCCTTCACTGTGTCAATGAAGAATGTACCGCACATCAAAAAGTTGGTGATCGACAAAAAGCGGAAGTTCACATGCCTTGGACGACAACTGCCGTCGATGAGCCATGAAGATGAATGGCGATACTTAGGCGTCCCGTTTACACCGGAGGGACGTACTCTGATCAAGCCCGAAGCACAGTTGAAAGAAGCGTTGGAAAAACTCACCAAAGAGCCACTCAAACCTCAGCAAAGACTTTTTGCTCTTCGAGTAATGGTCTTACCCTCCTTGTACCACCTGCTTACCTTAGGTAGCACGACGCTGAGCAAACTGGAAAAGATTGACTTGATGGCCAGAGCTGCGGCGAGAAAATGGCTATGCCTCCCGTACGACACACCGAACGCATACTTTCATGCCAACGTCAAAGATGGCGATCTCTCCATACCATGGATGAGGTGGCTCATGCCCCTCCACAGAAGAGTGAGGTTAAAGAAGCTAATTAAGAATGGTCAAACAACCAAAACCTAACTCACAATTGAATTACAAAGGACCATTCGTCGACTAACGGAGAACCGCAAAGACTTGAACTCGCTTGGGGAAATTGAAAAGAGATGGGCCACTATGCTCCACTCATCCATTGACGGCAGAGGACTCAAGGAGTCAAGAAAAACACCCAAGCAGCACCAATGGGTAACAGAAGGGAACCGCCTTTTAAGCGGAAGGGAATTTATTAACATCATAAAGCTTTGCATCAATGCGATGCTCACTAGGTCGAGAACCGCACGCGGCCGAAGAGCTGATCGCGCGTGTAGAGCTGGATGCATTGCCGTGGAAACGCTAACCCACGTGCTCCAGCAGTGTCACCGAAACCACAGAGCACGGATAGAGAGGCACAACGCCATATCATCTTATATAAAACGGGCTCTGGGGAAACAATACAAGCAGGTCGAGGACGAGCCTCATTTTAAAACGGACGAAGATCTTAGGAAGCCTGACCTGATATCGATGAAGGACGCTACGGCCTTAGTGCTAGATGCACAAGTCGTCAGCGAACGTATCCACCTAGACACAGACACAGCGCATCGCAACAAACAAGAAAAATACAAGACCCTGGAAAGTGCCATTAAGGAGAGATACGACGTAGACTACGTATCTTACACCACCTCCACGCTCTCATACCGCGGTGTATGGAGCAGCTCATCGGCCAAAGACATGATAGAGAAAGGCATCCGCAAGAAGCAAGAACTAAAGCTGATATCCAACAGAACCCTTG